AGGCTCAGGGTTACAGCAAAACGGTTATTGCAAGCCTGACAGGGAACCCTGGAGTAAGCAGGCATTACTTCCTATCTCCCCTGGCTTCTTTTCGACCTGACGTCTGGAGCTCTGGGTGCCGAGCCGCATGGAGGCCACCAGGGCTGCGGGATGTGGCGGTGGGGGGCTGCCTTACTGCAGGGGGCGTCCCTAGGAAGTGCTGCATGGCAGGTCCTGTTTGCTCTGGCTGGAGCCCAGAGGAGAGGGTTGGGAGGAAGGGAGGGTTTTTAAGTGAATGTTGGTATAGGGACGTCCCTCTGCAGTCCATGTTGGGAGGCCCCTGTGGACACACCCAGACCCTCAAAGGAGACTGGGCCACATGGTGGCTCAGGGCGCTTCTCCGAGGCCTTCTGGGCACATGGCTCTGATTCTAAAGAAAAGAGAAAGTCAGATCCCAGGAGCAAGGGGCCTGCGGCCCAGGAGGAAGAAACTCGAGTTGTTTCTTCACCCTGACAGATGGCAGGGGTCCTTGGTTTGGGAGGGGGCGTGCAGCAGAGTGAGATGATGACAGAGAGAATATTGGGTCAAAGGTCCTGCAATCAGGAGAAAAACATCAGGCATGTCCCAGTTGAAGGCCATTCTGTACAAACCTGACTGGCTCTCTTGTTACGGGAGGTAGGATCGCCTCTTTCTCTCAAAGGCCCTCTGAGGCAGGGGCGCTGTGGTGAAGTGGGGTGGCACAGCACTGCCTGAAGGGGCTGCCATGGTCAGGCTCCTATGTGGGTGCCCAGAACGGTCAGATTGTCTGAAATTTTGTTTTCTTCAAGAGCAAAATCTCCATTTTTAGGTGAAATCTCATTTTGAAATGGCAGCAGCTAATTATAAAACTTCTAAGCCAATCTACAGGGCACAAAACAAGCCAGGTCTCTGGGGTGAGGCCAATTGGCTCTTTAATTAAAAAAAATTGTGGTAAAATACACATCACATAAGATTGATCATTTCAACCATTTGTACGTGTGTAATTCAGTGGCATTAAATACATTCACGGTGTTGTGTAAGCATCACTACTGTCGGTTTTCAGAATGTTTTCATTTTCTGAAACAGAAGCTCTGTACCCATTAAACAATATCTGCCCCCCAAGTACCTGGTAACCTGCACTGTACTATCTGTCTCTGTGAATTCGCCTGTTGTGTGGGACCTCATATAAGGGGGATCATATAGTATTTGTCCTTTAGTGTCTAGCTTATTTCATTCAGCATAACGTTCTCAAGGTCTATGTGTGTTGTGGCATGTGTCCAAATGTCCTTCCCCTCTTAGGCCGAATAATGTTCCATTGAATGGACAGACCACATTTTGTTTATCTATTCATCCATCGATGGACACTTGGGTTGTTTTTGCCCAGTGGACCGTGGCTTTCTTTGAAGAAACACCGTCCTGCCCCAGCTATGACTTAGATTGTGACTCTAACCTATTGTGGTGATTTTAATTCTAATTGTGTTGACAAATGGCTGAGAGCTGGCATATGGAATGAGGGTGTCCTGGGATGACAGTGAGAGAGGTACCCAGGGTGCTATGGGAGCCTGGAGGGGACAAACTTGGTCTAAAACAGGAGACCGCAGCTGAGCCATGAAGGACCAGCCACCTGGAATGCCTGCCCACCTCCCTTCATGAACTTGGCAGAGGAGCTGCATGGGCACAGGGGTCTGAAACCACATAATGTCGGCAGGATGAGGGGCCCTGGCTGTCAGCGCTGGCCTCCCCACCCACTAGCTGAGTGTCCCTGGGCCTCCGAGCCTGAGTACTCTCACCTGTCAAATTTGGGTGACGATCAGGCCTGCAGCCGCGGGTTGTTGTGTAGATTAGACAAATCGATACCTGTGAGGTGCTTTGAGTAATGCTTTGCATAGAATGAGTGCTCGTAGGCGATAGCTGTTATTTTTACTGGGAGGGGTGAGCATGGTGCCAGGAGAGGCTAGCACAGAAGCAGGACTCTGGTCATGAACTTGGGTGGTCCCTGGAAGCCTGGGGGAAGTAGGGAAGGGCTGGAGAAGAGGTGCAGATACCTTTGTGCTGGATGTGACCCTAGAAAGAGCCTACCTATGTAGGCCCTTACTCCAGCCTCCCAGGAAGCTGGTCATCTCACCTCTGCTTAATCGCCTTGAGCTTTTCTCCTCGAAAGCATCTCCTTCGTTATTGGACTCTGCCAGTTGCTGCTTAGGGACCGTGGTTTAATAACGGTCCACTGCATGCCTTTGGGCAACCTGCCTTCCTTCTCTGGGCTTCAGTTTCCCCATCTAATGGTGTTGGGCTGGCTGGTTTCTAAGGGCGCTTGTGAGCACCTGTGCACTAGAATTGTATGACTGTTGCTGGGGGGAGTTTTACTTCTGTATGCCCACCAGAGATGGAGAAAAGGGTGAAATTTAGGGAGAAGGCCTCCGTCCTGTTCCTCTTGAGTCCCTAGATCAGGAGGTGAGACTCTGTGAGAATTCTATTCTTGGTGACACCCTTTTTGTCACACTGCCATTTTGTAGTCCGTGTGTGTTATCTTTCATTACGGGCATGAGTTAGGGCAGAGAGCTGGGGATGGCAGCTTTGTGGGCCCAGCTTCATACGTACTTCCTGATCACTTCCCACGGACTTCTTCTCCCTTTCCTCCCAATTATGAGACTTCTGAAAATGGTGCTTCCTTTTCAAAGCAAGTCAAAGTCATATAGGAGGACAAGCCAAACTGAAAGGACTTATGATACCATAGGCGGCAGAGCTCAATTCAGCCAATCAGAGGTTAAGAAGGAGTTAGCACATTACGTCAGAGGAACGTATTGCTATCCGTTTCCTTCATTCATTTCATGCTTGATCTCCTGATGTGGAGCTCACACTGCAGTTAGTGAACACGAATGCCCTTTTAGATGAGGAGCTGCGCCTAGCTCCTAACCGCCACCTGAGAAGGGGACGTACGAGCGTTTCTGTGGATAACCTTCGACCTGTCTTTGACAAAGAAATCAGGGTTTCCGCTGACCAGCTCTGTCCAGGGCTTTGCACACAGACAGTACCGTCTTGAGGACTCAACTTCAGATTCCTTGATGCCCTATCTAGCTTTTCTTGCTTCCTCCTGAGCAGTGGCTGAAGCTAGCTTCTGGCTTTTTCTTGGCCCCCCATCAGCAGCCTTTGGAACTGCTGACACTTTTGTTTGTTCAGACAGGAGACGCTTACTAGGCACCTATCGTTTGTTGTGCATTGCGGAGATGGTGATGGGTATTAACTTGGTCCTTTCCACACAGATGTCACACTCTAGTGAAAGTCACTGCATTAACCTAACCCTTTTCTCCCCGCTTTTGCCACTGAGTCATTTCAGGAGTTGCGCCTAATAGAACTGTAAGGCCAGGACTTGTTACAGAGGCTCTAGCTGAGTCATTGCTTGTTTGTTGTTAAGATCATCTAGATTGCATCAGCTTTGGTAGCAATCACAAAACTTTTTATTATTATTTTGGGAAATATATTCTATACTAGTAAGTTCAAATAATGCGTGGAAGCCGGATTTCTTTGCGTGAACCTTAAGAGCCAAGATTTTATGGGTTCAAAGCTAACCTACCACAGAAGATGCTAATAGCTGTGCTTTCAAAAGAGGGTGAGAGGGATGGATCTTGAGGGTATCATGCTAGGTGAAATAAATCAGAAAGAGAAAGGAAAATGCTGTATGATTTCACTCATATGTGGAATCTAAAAAAAACAAAACAAAAACCAAACCAACAAAAAACTCCACACGAACAAGCAAAACAAAACAAAAACAAATGCATAGATACAGAGAACAGATCGGTGGTTACCAGATGTGAAGGTTGGGAGGTAGGTGAAAGGGGAGATGAGGGTGAATTGTATGGTGACGGATGGTAACTAGACTTTTGAGGGTGATTACTTTGTAGTGTATACAGATGCCGAATTATGTTGTACACCAGAAACTTATATAATAATATCTATGAAGGAGGGAGGGGTTTCTTTTGGCCAAATGTTGGGATATGGTACATGCCCTAGCCCACCTTGGAGAGTTACGCCGCATGTGAGCAGATTAAAGGCTCTGAGAAGTCCTGTAGCAAAGAAACCCAATTGACTTTGACTCAGCATTTTCCAAATGCTTATTAGCTTGTAGAATTTGTTTCTTGTTCTTGTAAACCCATTTAATACTTTTCAGAGCCAATGTTCCACAAAACACCCTGGTAACACTTGTGGACATGATTGGTTTGAGCGAAAACTGCCCAGCTGCCAATGTAGGTGGTCAGCAAAAGAAGTGTATTATTTGCAAATGCACAGTTTTGTTTGGCCCAACTCACTGGCCCTGAACTGGGGAACTAGTTGTCTGCTCCATGGAAAGGAAGTTTACTATTGAGCAAACCTCTCATTGATCCATCATTTCAATGAGCCGTGTGAGATCCAGGCGGTCTGTTGACTGTGAAGTGGAAGGTGGGCTTCCTGGGCTTCCACCCTCTCCAGTGACTCCCAAGCCAGGACGTCATTTAAGACTCTTAGGACAGACTGTGTGAGCCACCTGCATTCTCAGACAACCAAGGAGGCATGTCTGGGACAGCCGAGTGATCCGTAATGGGGCGCCTGTGAGAGTCTTGGCATATACAGGACCTTTTGGAAGTAGTCTTTGGTTGAACAAAGCATATAATAAAGTAGAATGTATTACAATACTACTTTTATTTTTAAAGAAAGGAAGGTAGATAGTCATTCAGATATAGAGAAAATAAAGATAATGGTGATGGGATGAAGGGCAATTTTTCCCCTTATTTTCTGTTGTTGCCGAGTTTTATGTTATCAACATGTGTTCCCTGTGCAAAAAGAAATATACGTATATAAGTAAAAATACATATGTATATGTATGACACACACACACACACACATATACACATACACCTTATTGAAATGATGCAATACATAAACCAAGGTTGAGATAAGTTGGTTTTTTTGTCTTAAGCCTTTGGTTTCTAATAGTTCCTTCAATGCCTGTCTTTTTTTAATTTTTCCAGATGGGCAGCAAATTTGGGAGATGGAGGCCACGGTGGATAAAGACAAAAGCCAGCCCGTAAGCACCCGGACCGAGCGCCCTGTCATGTTTCCCTCCCACCCCCTCATGTTCTCTCTCCTCCTTTTTTTCTTCCCTTCGTCAAAGTCCCAGTGCTTTGGACATAACAGGCTCTCAGAAGGTATTAAATTGACAAGTCACTTAAGCAAGTAGTGAGCACCAGGCCCTCTGATCTGTCATGGTGACATCTTAATATACTTGGATAGAGTCAGTGGCAATGCTTTCTTTGCCGCGGCCGAAAAGTCAAGGTCCCTTTACATAGAATTTCACCTGTAAACGTGTGGAATGGGTCATGACCCCTGTTGGATGGGCTGGCTCAATGTGCTTGGGGCCTTGCATAGGAATTTAGACATTACTGCCGTGAGTTTGATGACAACTCCTTCCTTCCAGAACATGCTTTTTGTTGAGATCCCTGAGTATCGGAACAAGCACATCCGCGCTTCGGTGAAGGTGAACTTCTATGTCATCAATGGGAAGAGAAAACGAAGTCAGCCTCAGCACTTTACCTATCATCCAGGTATGGCGCTCTCTCAGAAGGCCCCCGGGGTGGGAGAGGCAGCATGGGTGTGTGCGTGGGGATGCACGTCGTCTGCTGACAGCTGGGCAACCTTGGGCAGGTGCCTCAACCTCTGAGTCTCAGTTTCCTTATCAATCACATGGCACCTTCCTGATGAGAGTTACAGAAATAAAATGCACTAACGTGTTTAGCATAGTGAGCTGATGGTAAACTGATATCAGCGATATGAACTATTGTTGTTATGAGTGTTTTCCCTGGGGAGGACGGAATAGGAGAGAAACCCGTGTGGACTTGTTTAGCAAAAGGTTGCAAAGCTTGTGACTCCTGTCCTTCGTAGATTTGATCATGATAGGGGTAGAGGTGAATATGCCCCCCAAACCTATGGAACCTTTAGTTGACCCCATAGTAAGTAGTCACCCTGTGGCCATGTGGAGTTACTGGCTGGATAACCTGGTCAGGAGGTCTCCTCCCCACCAAGTGCTACAGTCTGAAGAAGGGTGACAAGTGCTATTTTTCATTCATTCTTTCATTCATTCATTTGTCCTCAAAATATCTGAGTGCCAGGTACTGCCCTTGGCTTGGAGACACAGCAGTGAACAAAACAGATAAAAAGCTCTGCCCTCACCTCGAAGAGCTGATGTCCTAACGGGATTCGGATATTAAGTGTTAATAATATTGATATGGCAGATTATGATAGGGGCTACAGAAACAGGCTACAAGCTCCCCAAGGCTGAGACAGGCCTCCTAGCCACTTTTCCAGGATTGGAAACCTGTAATTTGAGGATATCACCCAGGGTATAATTTCTGGGCTGTGACAGTTTCACCTGGAGCCTCTGGGTTCCTAGAAGCCTGAAACTTGAGGGGCCGGTCCTGGCAGCTGGGCCTTGGGGGGGCTTGGCTTCAGTAGAGCGTGTCCACAGGTTTGTGAGACCCCTGTGAGCGTTGCACTGTCCCAGGACTGATGTGACATGCATGGGATCTAAGACTGTGGAGATCAAACCTCTAATGAAGAGGTTTTCAGTGACGTTTATGCTGCCCTCACCTCTCATTGGTGGTAGCGAGGCCTCCCGGGTCCCAGTTGGCACGCAGTTGTCTGAGCATGGCCCCGGTGAGGACCTGGGCCCCGGCAGTCAGGCCGGGGACTGAGCTGATCATCTTTGAATGGCATCTTGAGAAATGATTTCTGTGGTTAGGGCCAAAGCTGCGTTTTCGCTTTAGGTGCTGAACCTCCTTGCCTCTCCAACCCCCAACACCTTGGGGGTGGGAGTGGAGGGGCAACTCGATTGCTGTCCTGTCACCGATGCATTTACTCCAGTGAAAAGAAAGCTGATTCCATAGCACGGGGGGCTGGATGTTGGAGAAGCAGAAATTGTGGTGACTGCCCTAGGTGGAGAGAGAAAGAGAGAGGAACGGTAACCTTGACAATGCTCATAGTAGTGACAATAGTAAGATAATAGCAACAAAAGCAAGCACGGAGCACTTACTGTATGTCAGTCATTGTGCTGAGTACTTTGCACATGCATCTTATTTAATTCTCCCAACATGGTACCCCGTAGGGTAAGGGTGCTTATTACTGCCAAGTAACAGGTGGGGAAACTGAGGCCCAAGCCAGTAGGTTTCATTCCCCCAAAGTACGACAGAATGAAGGAGGGAACTATCACCGTTTGGTCATCCCTTGTCCAGAAAATACCTCAGTGCCAGTTAAGTTCTAGGCAGTATTTTAGGTGCTGGGGACCCAGCATTGAACCAAACAGACCAAAAAAAAGAAAAAAATCCTTCCTTTGAGAAGCTGACATTCTAGTGGGGTCTTTGGGTAAACAGGCACATAAAATATATAGAATATTTCAGGTGGTGATAATATGTATTATGAAGGACAATGAGCAAGGTAGGGGGATGGGAACTGCTAGGGCAGAGGATGGAGGAGGCATAATTTTAAATCAAGCATTCTTTCCTGAGCTTTCCTCCTGGGGATCAAGGCTGCACACGGGCCAGGGCTGAGAGAAACTTTCCAGACACCTTTGCACTATTGTAAAAGACCTATATAGTTCAAGATCATAGCCCAGGGTTAGATTTCTGACCTAAGACAATTGTACAGGGAGCCTCTTGCCCAAGGCTAATAAGTGACAGAATCCCACTGTTTGATCCCACCCATGTGGACTCCCAAGGCCTTGTTCCCAGCCGCTGTCCGCTAATCCTCTGCGCACGTCCGCGGCTCACTGAGGATGGTGCACCTCTGTGCTTTGTCTCTTCTCGCAGTCCCAGCCATCAAGACAGAGCCCAGTGATGAATATGACCCCGCCTTGATCTGCAATCCCATCCACGGGAACCTGGGGACCCAGCCTTACTACCCACAGCACCCTATGGTGGCTGAGTCCCCCTCCTGCCTCGTGGCCACCATGGCTCCCTGCCAGCAATTCCGCTCAGGGCTCTCGTCCCCCGACGCCCGCTACCAGCAGCAGAACCCAGCGGCCGTCCTGTACCAGCGCAGCAAGAGCTTGAGCCCCAGCCTACTGGGCTACCAGCAGCCGGCCCTCATGGCCACGCCTCTGTCCCTCGCGGACGCCCACCGCTCCGTGCTGGTGCATGCCGGCTCCCAGGGCCAGAGCTCTGCCCTACTCCATTCCTCTCCGGCCAACCAGCAGGCCTCTCCGGTGATCCACTACTCGCCCACCAACCAGCAGCTGCGCTGTGGAAGCCACCAAGAATTCCAGCACATCATGTACTGCGAGAATTTCGCACCCGGAACCTCCAGGCCTGGCCCGCCCCCTGTCAATCAAGGTCAGAGGCTGAGCCCGGGGTCCTACCCCACAGTCATTCAGCAGCAGAATGCCACAAGCCAAAGAGCCGCCAAAAACGGACCCCCGGTCAGTGACCAAAAAGAAGCATTACCCACGGGAGTGACAATTAAGCAGGAGCAGAACTTGGATCAGACCTACCTGGATGACGGTAAGATGCTCGCTTTTCTTATTGCCCATAAGAACTGTGCCCGAAGGAAGTTCACTGTATGGCCTGGGTAACTTCCTTCACCTCTTTGGGCCTCAGTGTCCCCTCTTTCATTTAAGGGGGTTGAGTGAGATAAGCTTTAAGGCCTCACTCAGATCTGTGCATGAATCATTTCCCAGCAGGGCTGTTGGGATGGGTGGCAAGAGTTTTCAGATGCCCCCTTACAACCATCATAAGAGAAAGAGCAAATGAGGGCAATTCTGGCCACACGAGTGTCCCCTGGGTCATGAACTGGGTCAGTTTAACTGCTTCCACTCGCTTTCCATTTGCCAAATTTAGCCCAAGGGTAGGAAAACAGAAAGGAAGGAAAGCTAACCTTTTATTCCTGTAGAGAAAAAAGAAATCCCCACTTTATAGCCCTCTTTTGTGTATCTGGGGGTGGGGAGTATGGAGAAAAGTGAAGGAGAAAGCTCATTGTAAATTGGCTCTATGAGAAGGGAGCATGAATGGGGGGCTTGCAGGCAGGCTGCAGGCATCTCTCTGCCATGTGCTAGCAGAACAGAGAAGCACATTGATGGGAGGGAAACAGTGGGCTTCCGTTGTGGTGAGCCCAGCTGATGGGGTGGTTGGGCAGAGGCGGCTTTGTGTGAGTCTGTAGGTGCCCGAGTGTATTGTCAGGGGGGCCCAGCTGGAGGGTAGTCTTGTTGGAGTGGCTATGTGTGTGACATTGGTCTGTGATCTGGTCTTGGCAGGACTCACCTGGGATCAGCCAGGTATAGCTGAAGCACTGAGGGATGGGTGGGGCAGACAGAGCCGCCTCCCCCTGGGGGCGCCAGAAAAAAGAAAACAGGTGGTTTGAGTTTCTTAATGGGAGAAGGGAAACCTACACGGCTGGCTGCCATCCACAGCTCCAGCCTCGCACTTTATAAGCAGTAGCATCGGATATATCCTGAAACCTCGATTGATGAGGAAAATTTACTCTCAGGAACTCAGCCAAGGAGTAGGAAATAAGGCACAAAGCTCTAAAATGGCCACGAGCTATCACAAAGGCCAGGTGCTAACCATCAGACACTTGAGTGGCAGGAATCCTTTGGTGCTTAACTCAGAGACTATTGACTTTTACTTTATGCAGAGTTTTGATGGCCTGGGTTATCTTGGGGGTACTACTGTGTGTTCTAGCAGTTTCCACATTTTCTCTCTAGTAAAACATTCTATCAAAAGCTTCCCCCAAATGCACCAGGCAAAGATCACTAGGGCCACTTAGTGTAGGGTCACCCACGTACCTTACCAGGTTGGCTTCGGGTTCTTGCTGCATTAATAATGGATTTGTCTAATCCTGAATAATCAAACACAGGTCAATTTAGGGTCCCCAGGCTCGGTTTAAAAGGGAGATCCATGTGCAATCCATTCCTGAACAATTCACACCCAAAATGGTTAAGATAAACTTTTTGGTACCTATTTGAAAGGAGAAGATTGTGTAGAAAGTTCAGCTGATGTGGAATGCCCACTGTGAATGGATACATGAAATGTGGCTGTAATTGGACCGCTCTCCAAGTGCACGCTTGGGAGATGTATCAGGGCTGAGGTGCTTTATAAATAAATGAGTGCCCAAAGAGGGGCAGGTAACTTTCCCCAGAGGACTCTGTGTCGGGTGTTGGTTCAGCCTCCAGAACGAGGAATGTGCTGGCCCCTCCCACCTGTCCATCATCCTACATTAAAGGTGAATGGCAAGTGCCTGGGATAGGGAGCAGGAGTTAGTCTGTGCCTTGGCTCTCCACGACCCATCAGTATCCAGGTGGGCCTGAGGTGGTCAGGAGTCAACTTTGTGTGTGCCTCACAGCCCCAGACCCACAGAGGCGCCTCCTGTTTTCACAGAAGCCTAAGTTATGGAGAAAGCAGCTGAGAATGAAGACCCTTTCGGGCCTCCTAAGTGTCTTTTTGAACATAGGTAGGTTCAAAGCCATGGTGAGAGCGAGCTCCTGGCAGGTCAGTGACGAGAGTCGGCCCTAAGTATGTCTTTGAGACCTGCGTGTGGTGAAATCGCTTCTTTTGGTAGAGCCTTTCCTTAAGAACGTTCTGGACAAGCCCAGTTCCATGGGATTGTAGGAGGTATTCTCTGAAGTGAGGGTTCCATGGCTTAAAACAGCCGAAAAAACTTGGTTAAATGAAGTTTTTAAAAAACGGTGTACTGTGGGACTTCTCAGAGCCTTTACTGCACTAGTGGATATTCTAAATCTCTAAGATGGGGCATGTGGCACTTTCCAAAATTACTCGATCCCAGACAAGAGGGTGTACAACTCTGGGGGCTGCTGTTGACATTGTGTTGCACCCTCTGTGAAGGGAGCCCTGGAGCTGCACACCACCGCAGGTCTGGAACCCGGCTCCCCCAACATTTGGGAGAAAGACCATGAAGGAATGTCCGAGTGTGAAGCCTAAGACTGCCCCACCCCATATGTCACGTTCAGACTTCACAGTTCTTGGGCTTCACGTTCCTGGAGTCAGAGTGCGACAGAGCAGTGGAATAATTTCTCCCCATGTGGCTCCCAAGAGGCAACACTGTTGCTTCTGGTGGCTAGACATTCAGTGCTTGACTGGCACTGTCCCCAAGGCTCTGCCCAGCCCAGGACCCTCTGATGGGGAGGTTCCCATGTGGCTGGCTGTGCCCTGTGGTAAGCCCCAAGCTGTACCATCCTGTAGCTACTAAGAAGAGGTGGGGGCAGTTTTGTCCCCTAGCTGCTGAAATTTCAGATCTCTCTCCCGGGCCTTCAGGCACCCATGGGACATTCTCAGATTCCACTGTTGGCTTGATGGATAGGGATTCGGACTGCTTACTTTGTTTTGTGTTTGTTGCTGACACGTAAACCAGGAATCCCTGGGTCATTTTCCTAGTCTGGTTGGGAGACATCCTAGGTTTTTAAGATCCTTTCCTGTCCCTTCCATTGATTACTCAGAGGGGGGGTCTCCCCCACAAAATACGTATCTGGCTGCACATGCTCCAGGAGAACGTGCTTCCAGCATGGGGGTACTTCTCACTTATGTGGGGGTTCCATTTATGTGCCTTCGGACTTGGGCAGAGTAGACTTTCCTTGGAAACTTCGTGAGAGTTGGGATTAGTGTTTCGAGGGTCCAGCGCAGGTCCCCAGATGGCAAAGGAAGGGGTCATCAGCGGCTGCGGTCCAGATGCACACAAGTCACCCTAGAAGGTGGTCACGTTACTCACTGAGATCCTGGGGGGCCCCAGTGTTTGGTTATTGTTTCCTGACCCTTTGCGAATGACCCAGCGTGTCTTGTCTGGGCGTACCACCTGGCTGCCGTGTTCCTTCTGTTTTTCCCCTTTCTCTCCTCGTCCCAAACTGCATTCCTGCACACAGACACTGTCTGGGCCCCGTTTTTGTTTTTTTTTTTCTTGGAACTCCAGAATGCAGCTTCTACTGTTCTCCACTCCAAGGGCTTGATACATTTTCAAACAGCCTCTTTTTCGAACTAGCAAAATAAGTGATATTCCAGGGCGAAATGCGTCCTCACTCCGCTCTCTCCTTAGGCTCCCCCGCCCGCCCCTAAGCAGGCACTTTCTCCAAGTTCTGAGATGGATGCTCTGCACACTCACTCGTTTTTTTTCCCCTCTGCGCCCTCGTCCCCTCCTGTGACTAGTTGACGCTGGTTGTACCTGGAAAACACCAACAGCTCCCAGCAGTTGCGTGATTCTGCGAACCAATTCTTCCCCCCTTCCCTTCTCTCCTCCCTTTCCTTAGTCCTCCCTCTTTCCCTCCCCCCGCAACCTCCCTCTCTCTCACCCACAGGTATTTACTGGTTGCATTCTCGGTGCCCGGCCTTGTTCTTGGACTCAGGGATACACTGGTGAACAAGTCAAGCGAGATCCTTGCTCTCGTGGGGTAGTCTTTTTTTTTGGTAGAGCTAGACATCAGCATGTAAGGTAATAACTCAGCATCTTTCAGATGGTGATTATAAGCCATGAGGGAAATTACAAGAGGTTCGAGGTTCGGAGCTGGAGTGTGGCTGGATAGAGTGGCGTCAGCCCCCTCAGACCAAGCACACAGAGAGGCCGCTCTGAGGAGGTGGGCTTCGGGAAGATCTGAGGGAAGGGTGTTTCAGGGGGAGGGAACAGCAGGTGGTAGAGGCTGTGAGGTCAGAGGGGCGGGCTAGTGTTGGCGGGTTTTTGGCAGCGGTGCTGTGCGCTCTGATTTACCTTTTCAAAGATCACGCTGGCTGCATTTGGAAAGTGGACTGCAGGGAGGCAGGAGTTGGGAAGCAAGGGGTTCACTCCATTTTAGACAAAGCCAGGTGCGAAGAATGTGAGTCCCGCGGCAGCAGTGTGAGCAGGGGCGGAGCGTTTTACTGGGGGCGGTGCGTCTTTCCACGCGTGTGGTTATTTAAAATGTAACTGGACTTGCCAAACTGTGATCAGCTCACAAGTAGTTCTGGCCACTTCTGTTGCTTAGAACAAAGGGCAGCTGCACCTTTGACCGCCCAGGGTGCCTGTATCGAGCAGGTACAGTTTGTGCTGTGCCGGGTTCAGGCAAGTGGGAGAAGCGCTGGGGGACACGGGACTTGGTGGGACTCCTGCCAGGGGCTGTTGGTGCCACGTTCTCCAAGGAAGTGGGAGTTCTCAGGTCATCGGGCCATCTCACCACAGGCTCTTAGGGTAGCGAGCCTACACTGGCAGCCTCAAGACTCAGCCACAGACCAGAGGACCCAGGGACAGGATAAGGCCTGGGGCTCAAGGGACATCCTTGATGCTGTCGTGGAAATGTCTTGGGGTGAAAGGATGTGGTCTCGGTCATGGCCAGAGCCTCTGCCAATGGCTCGTAAGGACAGCAGGTGGGGTGTGTGTGTGTGTGTTCATACATGTAGGAAGAGCACACATCAATCTGTTCTTGAACCTGCTTCTTTAGTCCTCATACAAACTTCTTCATGGATATACATTGAACAAATTTGAATATTTTTCTATATATTTAAATATTGAAATATGTGCACATTCAGAA